AAATTTAGATCCAAATCTTTTTATAAAGACACAAGGACAAATTGAATCATTCTTGTACCCTTCTTTCAACAGGTACTCACTCATGCGATTATACCACATCTGTCCTGATTGTTTCAATCCTTATAAGTATTTTTGAAACTTTATTTAATAAATTTCTTGGAAACCTTAATATGCTTCAGAACAATTTAAATCCTTCAATGATTTTCATTATACGCATATCACGTTTTTCTTCTATTGCCAGATTAAAACCTGAAATGGCGACATCCAACAGGAGAACATATCTCTATATAATCAATGCCAGGATATTTACAAATCTTCTTGTGACACAAGTCGCCTTTATGTTTATCGACTTGACCTTTGTTTTTTCGCACAAGAACACATTTATACCTCTACTGGCTTTATACTTACAGGTGTTGGGACTATCCATCCAACTTCATATTTTTCAGGTGAAATCAATTTTCATTGCGTATTTTTCATTTGGCCAATCATTTATCTGTCTAAATTTCATGACAGATTTGAGCTCAAGATCCTCGTCAATATTAATAATATTGAGCGCTATATTATATTAACAATATCGTCGACGATCATTTTATATCGGTTCTACTATTACCCAATAAAGACATAACTTATTGAGATCTCTTTATCTTATTATTTTCAGGTACCTGAGCCTCTCCCATGAGGTCTTATGAAGTGTTACGTCGTGGTGCTATTCTAGAGCACTTGCCTCCTTATTATGACCATCTTGAACATTTTCCCCTCTCCTTCTTCAAGGAGTTTTATCTTTAGAACCAATTAGTCTATTATGCTTCATGCATGCCATAGACTCTATTCATTATGAACTTTATTTTATTTGGAGCATTAACAGCTGAATATGACATTTAGTTTTGGATCAGCAAATAAGTCTGGCAATATTTTGCAAATGAATTATCACTTGAACTTCAAGTTCACATTTTCTCATACGAGGATCTAGATGTACTCATAATAATTCATTACATGCATTACTTTTTCAGCTGCCCATTTTCTTTCCCTATTGTTAGGATCACCAACACATATCCCTAGTCTTATTTGGGGATCCATCTTTGTGCATTATGGTGGAATAATTAAATCATATAGAACATTCATATTTCTAGATGGAAATTATTTGGTTCCTAACCCTGAACCGATTGTGATAGGGAGAACTTATCATAACTTGGCTAGATACGTACAAGTACCGTTGTATATTAAATAGTACATCACATACTAAATTTTATTTTGGCAGTTTTGTTCTCATAACCAATAGTTTAGATATAATTAGAGGCATACAATTTCTGCTAAACCAACTTAGATTTAAACTAGTATTATCAAGATAAATTATCATAATTTATGTTCTGGAATTGTGCTCTAATAATTTGAGCAATCAATCTTGCAAAAAGCCAAACTGCAAGTTGATAACAAATGCATATGTGCCCATAAAATAGATGCATCTATTAAATTCATATAATAGTAAACGGTCCACATGGCAGGTGACTAGGCCCATATATTTATCACCTTTTATTTGTTCCAGAAATCAAGGGGTTAAATCCCAACCTTAACTGGTATATCATGAGAATAAGCAGCACAAGAGAATTCTTCAAGAATCTTCTATTTCTTCAATATATGCCAATGTAATTTTTAATTAATTTTTCGCATCATAATTGAACCGGGATGGTCAACCGGTCATGCCAACTAATATTTGTTTTAGTAAACCTCTAGTTTACTTATGACATATGATTCCATCATCATGCTTATATTTGTGTAGTACAAATAAAAAATAAATCAGGTAATATTTCATATTTACCCGTTATGATTATAGAAATATGAAGATATTCAATATTCCTTTCATTTATAGTCTCAATATGCCAACCACTTTGACTTATACATTTGAAACTCAAAAAGTTTCTTTTGAGACTTTACAATATCAATGTCGTGAATAATTTTATTCATCCGGGTAGTAACAAATTAATTTTTTCGGAGCTCTTAACAACTTTTGTACTACAAGATCTTTTGTCACACTATTCATATGGTAAATGTCTCCTTCACGGAGAAAATTATATCATAATAAATTGTCATGGTCAAAATCATCATAAGCAAAATTATTTCTTGCTTTAATTTTGCCTTTAATAACCTTTTATAAGGCACAAAAAAAAAAATATTTGGCTACGCGACCAATGACATATTTATGTAACCACACAATAATATTTATTCTCTTTATTTCACTCAAATCTCCCTTAGATGTGAGTTGTGTGGTATTCATCTAATCATGCACTGCATGTCTTTATTCGTTACTTTTATCACATATTGTCACATTCACCTTTAAGAATGGGTCTACATTCTCAATGCTTATCACAAGTCACATTCTCTTTAAGGAATGAATCATAATCAGCAGCTTGCTTTATTATTTTTCATACCAATTTGATGGCAAACACTGCCTTCACATTTTGAAGGACTATTTTGAGAACCCTTATTGTTCTCCTTTTATAATCATAGTGATGATTATTATTATTTTGATCTTTGTAACACCCACGTTCATTGTTCAACCACTTGTCTTCATTTAGACTTATTATGTGTTGCTACCACATTCACTTCAAGAATGGAGCAAATCAAGTGGGATAATATTTATGCCTTTTCATGAAATATATTTTTCTTTCTTTATTTATCATTATATCATCAATATGGTATAGTGTGACTCAAACCCAATGTCTTACCAATATAAAGGCATGTTAGACCATAATGAATTGAGACTCAAATCTAACTCTTATTATCATGGAGCATCAGGACTTGATCTGATGTCTTACCTTCATGGTGCATTGCGACTTGAACTCATTGAAGTTGATATCATTAATAGCAAAGAACAAAAATAATTTCAAATACGAAGGAAATGCTTACCTCTTGAGTTAAACTCTTCATAATGTCATTTGGATATAATTCTTAACAATAGATTTTCGTTTACTCAAATCAGCTAAGTAATTAGTGTCAAACAGATATATGAAAATACAAAATAATATTGAAAATTCACATGTGGTCTTTGCTGCAATAAGCTTACTTCAAGATGAAAGTGATATGACCCGAACATTAAGGAAAAATTATGTATCAAACAGAATAATAGTACTACTAGTTACCATGCACTTTTGTAGAAACTAAGTATTATGCTCTCTAAAAAAATAAAAAGATATAGCAGAACATTTAAGTCAATCAGGGAATCAAAAAAATAGTGGACAAATCTCTGTCTACTATCTACTACGATATGCTTTCCATATGGAAATGATTCAACATACATTTGATAAAAACTATCATCA